GCATCACGTACAAAGCGTGACGTCACGCTTTGAGGGTTGTCTCCATTTAATTAACATTGCTCTATAGCTGTAACAATAAGTCATTGATCAAGATACGGCCCGCCTTAGAAAACCTTCGCAGAATTTCTCTTATTTACAATTTGATTACATGAAAATATAACACGAACATTAGGTACTATGTTTTTACCGTATTTCCAGTTAATTTCGCCGTTAATTTAAAACAAATACAAACAAGTGAATCGGATGGACATGGCAGGAAATTAAATTGGTGAGTGTGACAACACTGCGCGGTCGTCCGATTGAATTACAAGTGGCCGTCTCACAATGTCGCTGGCCAGACACACAAGTTCCAACTACCATGACATTCGGGAATATTCGCTAGCCGACATTCACATGTTTTCGAATTTCAAATTTCGAATGTTCCTGATATTTTATGCGATGAATTTCAAATCGAGAGAGAAATGTTTCCACTGCGAATTCGACATGACACATTTAGTTTTCAGTTGATGACGTTGAGCAGTTTTATAATGTGATGGAGTATGCTAAAATATAATAATTCAACTTGAACTTCGGCTAAGAATGGAAATGTACTATGTATTATGTTCATATATTTGGCGCAACTGCAAAGTCTTGACGGCTTTTATGCACGCTTGTACATGGAATGAAGTGGATAAAACACAAACAAAAGGATTGCTCAGAGCAACGGGAAGTTCCTTTTAGGTTCGGCGTCAATGAAACTGCAATTATTCGCTGGCAGAGTCTTATAAAGGCACTTATTATATCCTGAAGTGGGAAATTAAAAACAGACGGAGGCAAAGTTACGTAAGTAATCCTTTACTGAATTCTCGTCAGATATACAATGAAATATCGGGCGTTGTGGCGATGCTAGTAACCCCATTTTACGGTTGAGGTACCCCGGAGCATGGCACCCGACGTCTACGTGTTTATCGTCGAACAAACTTCATAACCTTTTATTTCTGTCTATTTTTAGACCGCCATCTTTCTTCGCAATAGATCTGTGATATATTTGTGATTTGACGACATTTTTTTGCTACTTTTTCTATTTCTGGTCTAGTCTTCTGTCAAGAAATATTACGCCTTTTTTTCGAATGGGAATGTAGTGTCGTAGTAGGTAGTTTACTAATAATAAATCTACTTTTTGCTATTAAATACCAAATGTGTACCTACCTAATAAATTGCTCGGTGTTTTTTTAGTATTACATTATTGTTTTAGAAAAAAAATAGACATACATACATAACATCACGCCTTTTATCCCCGAAGGGGTAGGCAGAGGTGCACATTATGCCACTGTACAATGAATCACCCACTTTTCACCTATTGCCATATACCGGGCATAATTCCAGACTCCGTGCTACTACCGAGCATTTTTTTTTAAACCCAGTAATACTTTGCCCGACCCGGGAATCGAACCCGAGACCCCTTGCCCGGCAGTTGCACTTGCGACCACTCGGCCAATGAGGCAGTCAAAAAAAAATAGAATACAGACAAAATAAAAGAAACATTGGGACCGAGGTTTGAACTCGAATGTAAACCTATTAGCTATTTAAAATTAGCTTTGTATTCTAATAAGGATGTTTATTCAATGAAAACACTGACAAAACGACATTTTCTGAAAATGAAAGCTAGATCGATTTTATAGCCCCCGAACAGATCCCGAAAACGGCTCCATCGATTTCAAGAAATACAAAATTTCAAGAAATCGATTGAGCTGTTTTCGGGATCTGTAATATCTACTCTATCGAGGATCGAAGTCAGCGCTAATGGAAAGAACATTCAGTAACTATTTGTTTCTGCTCAACAAGCAGTAAAATTTAAAGCCAAACGTTAGTCGAAAATTTATCAGAATGCAGAAGTACCTACAATAAAATATACTTTTAAAACCTTACCCGCAATACCCCTTCTTAACCTCGTTCAGTATCTAATCGCATACCAAATTTCCCAAAACTAGTCGATAGAGCATCTCCATTCAGCTCAACGATTCTACAGCATGTTCGTAAAAGCTCGTTTACAAGAAGGTTTTCTCAAGACCTCATGGTCTTGAGAAAATAGCGAGAACCGATACGATCATTTTAACTTACGATCTGAATAGACGAGGGACTTTTGTCCTCCTGAGGACTAACTGAGAGCTTGTGAAATACTGCATATGTAGTCTATACTAATATTACCTCTATAAAGAGGAAAGATTTGTACCTATTTTTGTATGTTTGTAATGAATAGGCTCAAAAAGTACTGGGCCGATTTAAAAAATTCTTTCACCAATAGGATGCTACATTCTTCCCATTTTACATAAGCTACATTTCATTTTGGATAAAATTTGGGATCCTTGGTAAAATTTGAACAATGTAACCGAAGGTGTAGAAAAATGAGTCTTAAAATGCCTTTCGTCGAATGCGCTGCCGAAACTATTAACGATAGAACAAAATAATGTACAACAATATTGAAGAACATCATAATGTCTACAAAAAACTCCGCGGTAGCATATGTCCAACTATTGCAGTTATGTCACTGCAACAATCCAAATTTCCAAAAATAAATAATTGTCTACCCCGTGCAAAGCCGGGACGGGCTGCTAGTAAGTTTTTGTATGCTACAAACATATATACTACTTATATTATAGATCTTTGAAATTACGTAACAGATTTTGATAGGGGTTTCTTAATAGATAATGTGATTTAAGATGTAGGTTTATATGAATATCTACTAAGAGGACCCGGTGCCTCCTTTAGGTGCGTATGGTGGCCACCGGGAAGGTTTTAGTGAGGTAAAAATCCCACGCCCCCTAGTCTTTTTCCCCAAAAAGCTAGGCGCCTTGTGAAGGGTTCCCCCTAAAAAAAAAAACAAAAACAACCAAAAAAAAGATTTATATGAATAACAATTCAATAACTCAGAGTTTAAAGTGTACGAAGCCGTGGGTAAAAGCTAAAAGAGTTAACTGTAGTTTACTATATTCCTAAAATATTAATAGTTTCATTTCATATTCTATGACAAAAGAGTGTTGGTACTTTTTTTAAAAAAAGCTACCGATGTACCTACTTGTAACTCTTCTATTATCTCTTGCTTTTGTCTTTTTTGGTGCTGGTGTCCATGGGCGATGTTGATCGATAATCATCATCCAATGACTCCTCCTAGGCGAGAGGAAGTGTTAGACTCTTACTGACTAAAAACCACCCTGTTCCTACTCCTGGACTTCGAGCTCTCCTTCTTAAACCGCGGCTCCATATCGGCATTAGCCCGGAATAGGTACCCTATGGATAGTGTCTGGTCTGTACAGGCCTTAACAATCTGCACTCCAGCTAAAGATATCTTCATGACATTAGGTCATAAAGCTCTACCATGGAAACACAAGTGAAACTAAAAGTTTCCAAACGAATAGTTTTATTGTATATTCAAGAGTTTTACGCGCCAAAGTTTTTCAGTCAAGGATCATTTCCCTCGTAAATGCATGTTGAATATGTATTAGTAATATGAGAGTCTTCCGCTATGTAGATTATTGTAGACTAGAGTTCGTTTGTGACTTTGTTTGTGTAAAATTAGTATATCGCATAGAATTTTTTTCATTTATCTCTAAAATATCGTACCCAAATTGAGGTATGTATTTGACTAGTTAGAAAGCCTTTTATGTATGCTCAGGCAAATGTTTAATTTTTTGTTTAGACTTTTGTCTTCTTTTCATCATCTTTTCACTTTTGGGTTATAATTTATTAAATATAAAGGCATGTATTCAAAATAAATCTTTAAAAGCTGAAAAAAGCATATTAGATTACACATTATATGACATTTATTTTGTCTAACAACAATAGATTAAAGGATACCTAAAGGAAAAAGGCAACAGACAGACAGACTTACTATCGCATTTATATACTACTATATATAGTAAGAATGCGGCCCTAAATGAATTTTTACAAGTCATTCTTGGGGTGATGATGGCGTGGATACTTATTATAATAGAAATAAGTTATTAACTGCTTATACGTAGTCATCATACGTAAGTGAATTCGAAGATTAAGTTGAAGGATCCTTAAACAATGAACATTATGTCATAATATACCGATTCATAGAAGTAAGGCGTTTATTCTGGGATATGGTTTTTTATCATTGGTCTGGAGGTCACAAGTGCGAGTAATAAGTTGAGCATCTGACGCTGTGATGATCTTGATTTCGTAGCAAGTTTCACAATCATGGTTACTTAATTACTCTTTACTTAAAAAAATTAGCAGTAGATAGCTTCAAGTCTGGAATTACGCCGTGTTCAGTAGTATAGTTTGCTTTATTCTAAACTTTAAGGAATTTTGAAGGGGATGTTTGTGTTTGTAGTCAGATTTTCTTAAAAAAACATGTAAACAATAAAGATGGGTTGTCTTTTTCCAATATGGCTGACACAAAATACCGCGAAAATGAATATAGGATTTCTGCGAAAAGCCTCAATCACTCCGCTCGAGTTGGGGATCAGTTGGAGGTGCTGCAAAGACGATGGAAGCCATCTTTATTTAGACGTAAAGCTTCCGATTGTTCTACACAATTTAATTAATTTATTTTAGAACGTAATTCGACTTGTTGTAGCCAGCATTCGTGTAACTGAGAAGGGTTTCAAAGAACACTAAGAGCGATTTCGAATACTCGCTATAAAATATACTACTTAGATTATGAGATGGTAGAAAAATGTATAGGATGGATAGGATTGTCATAGGTATATATATTTAAGACGGTATTAGTATGGTCAATAGTAGGTATGGAGATTTAGATATTCTTAGTACCTATTTATAAAATAGTTGTTTTATTATATACTTCTGTAGCATTCCCAATCTCAACAATAACACCATGAAACATTTCATTTGTCTCAAGAAAATAGGTTTCTGTAAGAAAATCTCGTTCGCAGTTTTACGATCTCCCTCCGTTTCTGAAACATAAAAGGTTTAATTATTTAGATTGCTTACACGCAAGAAGACGCAACAACCACGGCGGGAGTATCTTTGGAAGGAGTTGTATATGGCTATACTTTGCGTACAAAAGTATCCTCATACATTTGAACTGGGTACATGGATGTTTATATAAGCATCTGGTTAGGGTGCATGTTCTGAAATGTAAAAAAAATACCAGTATAAAATAATTCACTACCTACTATTTTTTTTGGACACAGAGCGAATCCTTTACCATTTGCAGACTTTTTTTTTATAATAATGGGGGGATAATCATCCAATGACTTCTCCCGCGCGGGTGAGGCGAGAGGGAGTGTCAGAGTCTTACTGACTAAAAACCAACCTGTTCCTACTCCTACACTTCGTGCCGGATCCCCGGCAATCCGTTAGTTAAGTTTTCCGTGGCTCCGTATCGGCATCAGCCTAATTGGGCCCCATCTGTGGTGATCCAGACCTAGCTTTTGGGGAGGATGACTAGAAATATTTGGAACCTTTATCCCACTAAACTATTATGATCCATATTGGCTGCCACTTCACGCACTGTGGTTATAACCAAAATTGAAATAACCCGGGAATAGAAATCAAGGCAACCAGTTTAATTAATAAAACGTTGTAATTATCTCTATTCCAGCGGTCTTTAGTCTGGTTATTTGTAGAGTATTTAAGTTGTCGCAAACTAAAAGACGAGCCATTTGCAACCAACAGCTGTTAGTTAGTAGTCTTTTAATACTACGTGTTCTTTTTCTTATTTATTTATTTATATTTTCATTAACAGCCTATAAATGTCCATTGCTGAGCAAAGCCTCTTCTCACATGGAGAAGGTTAAACATTAATCACCACGCTTCCTCAACGCGGGTTGGTGATTTCAAACTTATAATTAGAAATTGTAAGCCTAGGTTTCCTCACTGGCTGCCTCGTTGGCCGAATGGCCGCAATCACGACTGCCGGGCAAGGGATCTCGGGTTCAATTCCCAGGTCGGGCAAAGTATTACTGAGCTTTTTCAAAAAATCTTAGTATTAGCACGGCGTCTGGAATTGTGCCCGGTATATGACAATAGGCTCACCCCTTTTTACATGGGACTCATAACATAAATAGTGAAAAGTGGGTGTTACATTATACAGTGGCATAATGTCCACATTTGCATACCCCCTCGGGGATAAAAGGTATGCAATGTATGTGTTATGTATTGTTAATTAGTAAGATTTATTAGGCATTTTTATTTATTTTAAAATTGTAGATCACTTACTGGCCATAATATGAAAATATCTCTACAAATAGAATTCAGCCAAACTGACTCCAACAATAAAAGTCCGAATAGCATTTATTTACCAACACAGATACCTACATTTAATGCGGATAATATAACATTTATAACAGTACAATGTGGAATACCTCATATTTTCTACTGACCTCGATATAAAAACCATTCCGTCATGTTTTTATGTTTTACAGACTTTTAATGAGCACATTTCGTTTCGCTGTCGAATATTCATTTTAGTATTTTATATTTCCCGTATGTTTGATTGTAAAACTTCGCGTCGTAGTTAAAAGTTGTATTTATCTAAAAGTTTGATGTTTATAAATAGCTTATTACTATGTTAATATTGTCGCCGATTACGTATGATAATAGGGTAGATGCCTAATTTTTATTTTTATGTCCGTCTGGTAGATTATTTTAAATCTTTAGACACGTATTTTTTATTTTCTTACAGTAACGAATACTTTCGACGGTATATTGATTTAAAATGTCACGTGACGTCACTTCTATGTACATTTTATACATAGAAATGACGTTTTAGCCCCCACTCATAAACTTTGATTCGTTTTATCTAAGTATTGTTTTATTATACGACAAAATAAAAAAATACGTGTCTAATATTTTTTCATTACCTAACTTACGAACTAATTACATTTTTAATTTTCATACCCTGTCATCAACCCAATTGTTGGTTCTTAATGGTGTGATTTGTAATGAAGAAATGTGTAATTGTTTAAGTAACTTTCAATTGAAATATTAATTGTGGTTTTACACTTCTGTTTTACTATTCTACCTACTAGAATATGAGAACACAAAATGTCACTTACCCGGACACAAAAAACGCAAAAAATTCACAGTTGTCACACATTTATCTGGAAAAGCCGACGGTACAGTGCAAAAGTAAAAACAAAACAAGAGCCACATCAGAGAAGCGAGTAGTTCAGTTAAAACTGCATATATCAACGTCAGGAGACGAGACTAGATGAAAGAGTCCACCGAATGGTTTAGTAAAGTGGGTCACGTTCGTATAGGATGGGCTGACCACTGATCAATGCGCTGTAGATGCCAATTTTTCAGTAAATTGAACAGTTTGCCTGCAACCTTACGATATAGGGACGTCATTTGTCATACAGTGTAGATAGAGGTCGCTAATGTGATGCTGGTGAAATGATGGGTGGGCTATCATGCTAGATACATTATAATTGCGATTGGAACTGTGTTGCAATATAAATTGTTATGTTTTCGGCTTACTCACGTAATAATTTGACGAAGAACTAGACTAGTTTCAAGCCATGCTGGAGGCTACCACTGTTGCCAGTAGTAGCACGACAGTCGCCGCGTCGCGGGTCGCGAAATGGCGCTCATGAATATGAGCTTTTAGCATGGCTTGAAACTAGTCGAGTTCCTCCGCAAATTATTACGTGAGTAATCCGAAAATATAATAATTTATTTAGTATGTCTCACGAAAGTTACAATACAAATGTGTTGCAATATATAATGAACATAAAATAGTAGTAGGTAGTGATGCGCAGTGATGTCTTAACAAAAAATACTAACCCAATTTACCGACATTGGTTTTCCCAGTGGGCCACAACATGGGGTTCTTCAAGAGGGGAGTGAATAGGTTTCTTAAGGGTCGGTAAGACGCATGTAATGCCCCAAGTGTTGCAGGCGTACATAGTTCACGGTAACCATCTGGTTGGCCGTGTGCTTTTCGTCGTGGTATAAAAAAAACGACATTCCTGTTTTGCACACTTGTTCATTGTCAGTATAAAACATTAAGCTCCAAAGTTTGTCAACACAACAAACAGGTTACATATCTACAACGTAAATGAGCGCTAATTATTGTTCCCAGAGGAAATCTCGGGAACACACTAAAAACTTTAGACAAAACAAACAACTTTATTCTTACTCCATTGCAAGGAAATTGAAACTTCCCCTTCAGTTTTTTAATATCTTCGACCCAGAAGCTTGCGACTTAAGATTCAGTTTTAAAGGAAATTGCTATTTCTTGGAACAAACGATTTCATTGTCTTATCATCATCTACGCAATGTTGGCTCTTAATCCTGTAGTGTTTGAGTGCATATTAATATCCTTGGATTGAATTCAATTATTTTGGTTAATCTTCCAAAAGCGCACAGATGTTTCTTATTCCTCATGATTTGATAGGAATGAACTGATCGTCGGACCATTACCGCCTTTGATCTAATCCAGGCGATCAGACCAGATTTCTTGGATTAAAAGATATCTTTTAGCTTACAATCATGCACAACCAACTAAACCAACACAGCGCAATCACAATGACATGAGTTATTTCGAGCTATAAATACAACCCCTGACCTGCTGAAATTAATTTTCAACTTACAACTTTAATTGTACAAGAATAAAGTCGAATATCTACATAGGTAAGAATGATTCAGCAAGTGAAGAGATCGTTAGCACCGATGGTTCAGCTCTTCAGTCTATATTACGTGTCGTGTTCAGTTTGATGCGGCTTAGTAGGTACTCACCGTACGTAATCCGTCCCGAATCTTGTACTACACGTAGTGGTAGTGGCTCCCTCTATATCATTGTCTATTCAATTTTCCTGCCGTCAGCATCATATACCTGTGAGACTTGAGAGCTTACGTGGAATCATGTTGGTGTATTGTGTTTCGGCTATTGCTGATGAACGTTATGCTTAGTGCTACCATGTGTTCTCATTTTCATCTCGAACTCGAACTAAATAGGTGAAGACATAGGTAGTCTTGAAAATTTTGAACTCTTGCTATTTCTGAATTCTCAGTAGCAATAGCATATCTACTGAACAGGTACATTACAGGTTTGGGTATTAAGGTAACTAAATACTAACTAAATGTATTTTGGCAACTCATTATTCAGAAACCTAACCTAACTATTTAAGTGAAACATAGTAAAGCACTGAAACAATTACCTCTATCATTTTCAGCAAACAGCCTCTAGTTTTAATTCTGTCTTCACTTAAACGCTGCCAACTATTAAAACAAAGCTTACAGTTTTAATAGCATGCCAAGTCAGAGGCGCCTTCGTTGTGGCTACACTGACAGATATTTCAAAATGGTTGACATATTATGATGTCACGAGTTAATTTTAGCATAGACTTTTTTATGAAACAAAATGTGGTATGGGAAAGTGATTTAGATAAGGCTAGTCGATGGGAAATTTGATTTATAGGGTCCAATGGAGCGTTAAATATATACGGTATTGGCTCGGGAGCGCTCCAGCGATAGATGGCGTGGGGCGTGCGCTCAAACAGCCCCCAGGGTGCTTCGAATGACCCACTTCGTTTTTCTTAAGATGGATAACTGAGGTACGTGTTGCATCTTAGATTAGGGAAGTGAATCGTGGTGGGAAGTTATAGTAGTGGTTATGTAATAGTGGTGTTTTTTGTTTATGAAGTGAATATTGTTACCGACTTCAAAAAGGAGGTGGTACAGTTTGGATGTTTGTCTCTTTATATATTTTCATCGCCAATTGAGAATCGATTTTTAAAAATTTTGGTTTGAAAGTTGATTCTCCCGAGAGAGTCTTATTTTCACTAAATAAGGATCTGATAATGCAATCCTAGGGAAACAGATTGAAACTTTCAAAAATTGTAGGTACGAGTAATGCATCTATTATATTTTTTTAGATAAACAATCAATATAACAGATAAACAATCTAATAATCATTGTTTTGGGTTCTATTGTGTTAATAAAGGCAACATGCCTTCAAATTGTAATGTTTTTGTTTCATGTTCCGCACACAAAAGTGATTAATTCAGTTACGTCTTTTTTGTAGGTACCCAGTACAAACTCAAATGCATGTAGTTGAAAACGCGCGCTTAACACGTTCCATGTAAACATAGGCTTAATTACGTCTTATTTATTTTTCAACAATTAAAAAAATCTACAAATGGGTATTTTCGACAATAAAAAAAAAGTGTTGCGACCGTAGGCACAATACAATAAACTAATCACATTATCGATATATTGGTTTTAAGACTAACTTGATTTTAGTATTTAAGAAATAAGTATGCTATTTGACACAAAAAATGTGACGTCACATATACACAATCTCGTACAATATTCATAGAAAACTGTCGTTTTTGACAGGTCGAAAAAAGTATTGAATTTGACTATATAGTTGGCAAGTACCCAATTGGTTAAGGGTGATTTATTAAGATTCGGTCTGATGATGGAATAGCCTTCAATGGTTTACAGTATAACTACTTTGTGTTTGCTTAATTTAAATGGTTTGACAACTTTACACTCAATGGCGTGGAACTGTCATTGAGGGTCTGATGATGAAGAAGTGTAATTGTTAAGGGAACTCCTCAACGGTTTACAGTAACTACCTTGTGTTTGGGCTTGCTTAATTTGTATTGATTAGAACTTTGTTACGAAAAATTAATTTTGTGTTATGGGTACTCTTATATGTATTTCATTGGCAAAGAATAAAAACATAAGTAAATTAATTTTGTAATATTTTTAATAATCATCTAGGGTAGCCTAACTTTGTTTTTAAGGAACTTTGTGTTTTGTAAAGTACATATTCAGAAAATAAAACCTAGCTAAATCGATTTATTGTCCCTGAAATCCCCTAAACACTAAACAACAATTTCGTTAGAGCCGTTTCCGAGATCGTTGATAAATATATACAAGGATTGCTCGTTTAAAGGAGTTAGAGTAGTCTTAACCTGGCATTCCTTGGGGCTCCACCACACTCCAATATCTTTGTAGACAGTTCTTTTTGACATTTCTTCATCATTATTGATTGCCTCGCACAATTTGCAATAAGGATCCGTAGTTACTGAAGCCCCTACATCCCGGTAACTGTAATGATTATGCCATTTGAAGTACTCATAAAATAACTCCTTGTTCTGTATGATATCCACCATTTTCTTGGCTAGTTCTTTTATTGTCAACGTGTTTGCAGACAAGTATATTCCATCTGGCATGAATCTGAAATTAAATAAGATGTAAATAAGCCTATGTTTACATGGAATGTGTTTTTTTTAAGGGGGAAAATCATTGAATGACTGCTCCCACCTGGGGGAGGCGGGAGGGAGTGTCAGACTCTTACTGACTAAAAACCACCCCGTTCCTTCTCCTGCACGTCGAGCCGGAGCCCCGGTTACCCGTTAGGTTCTCCGCGACACATGATACGTGTAAAGCGCATGTTTTCAACTATGTACATGCATTTGAGTAGGTACTGGGTACCTACAAAAAATACGTAACTGAATTAGTAATCACTTTTGTGTGCGGAACATGAAACAAAAACATTACAATTTGAAGGTATGTTGCCTTTATTAACACAATAGAACCCAAAACAATGATTGTTAGATTGTTTATCTGTTTATCTGAGCGTACGTGCGTGAGCGCATTAATTTGTATAGCTGGAGGGGCGGTTCCTAAACTATGTAAGTAATATAATATCAATATCACCACGGCCAATTATTTGTACGCGTGTAGGAAGAGAGGTATGCATACTTTTTTATTTAATTCAATCTAATCATCTATACAGATAAATAACATTTGGTGTGTCTCTTTGTAATATTGAAATCACTGTTTTTTACTTCATGCATTTGAATATATGTACATACGATACATATACCAATATAACATTTTTTAAAATTTTTGTCTCTCTTTGTGTCTGTTTGTACTGGCTAATCTCTGAAAAGGCTGGACCGATTTTAAACTCTACTTACTGGCAGGTTGCTAATATACTAAGGAGTAACATAGGCTACTTTAATTTTGGAAAATTGAATAAAAAAAAAAGTTCTAAAACTCATATTCTACGAGGCCAAAGTGCAACAGCTAGTATAAAATAAGATACAAAATGCAGGTTTCATAACACAAGGTGCAGTTTACAATTACCTCGTGTAATTAGCGCCTCCATACACCACTGGCACAGCGTAGTTGTCGAGTGCATGCAACAATTTCTCCGTCACGTAGTCATCCGAGAACGAATTCTCAAAAGACAAATAAAAATAGTAATCACTCCGCAATTTGCGCAAGCACTCATTCATACTCGACCTTGAACACTTCATGGTTCCACAAGATCCATATATGTCCAATCGCATACCATACGTCTGGAGTTCAATTTGTAGCTTTTTGGCAATTAAGTCTCGTCCACTTCGTGCTCTGCAGTTTGATACGAACCACGCAGCTGCCGTAGTCTTGCCATTCAATATTTCCTTCAAAGTGTCATTTATTGGCAACATGTCCTCCACCTTCATCCAATGCATTTCGTCTTTAGGTCCTATCACATTACCATTCTTATCCCACACAGACATGTAAGCATAGTTTAGATCAGAGTTCAATTTGTAAGTCCATGTCCAATTGAAAAAGTTCAGGAATTTCTCATTACAGATTGGATAATATGCTGGGGACTCTATACTAGTGAAGATATATTTCTGGTGTGACTTACGGCGCTGTGGCAACTCCCTCACTCCCTTCTGTACAAATTCTGGAGCATGAAACACTATCGCATCGAACTCCGTTATGTCTTGCAACAACTCTCTGTTTCCCGTCACAAAACAGCTCGTAACAGGACATGACCTCTCAATGAATGTATTTCTAGCCACTCGGAAATTAATTAATGGTTCAGTCTTAAGTGACGTCCAAACTAGAACATATTTTAATGAAACATTTAATCGTTTTAAACGTTCAAAATATATCGATTCCGTATTATAAATCAGATCATAAGAAAATGTGAATAAAGTAACCATGCATGTTAACACAAAACCGATAAAATATTTTCGATTCGTCATCTTATTTATTGTAATAACAACTGACATATTACACTATGAATTTATTTGCACTTATAAAAGAGTTTTTAGGTATCCATTACAGCAAAACGAATTATTTATTTCACGCACAGCCACTTGTTAATTATTTGTTTGAACACTTGCGATCGACCGCGCGAGTTATTAATTAGCCTGTTAGTTGGTGACAGATGTTGCTTCCAGTGATCGTAAGCGAATGCGCACGCGTTTCACCCATGATGTGAGTACGGTAATCTGCCGCGGTGACATTGTGTAGAGCGTGAAAATTATGTTCCACCAAAAACATTCTGTAAAAACTAGCTAAGCCTCGATGGAGCTGTTTGTTTTGCCCTGCGACGCACCATAGGTATTTTTTGTGTTTCTAAATTCTTGTTGTGTGTCGTAGCAAAATAAATGGTTTTTCTTTCTTTCTTTCTTTCTAAAAAGACTTTAAAAACCAAAAACAAACAAAAAGGAAGAACTAAATAACTATTATTAGTACCCTAGCTAATGGAACCCACAACGTTCACCAGCAGAATTCGGCGTGACAAGTTTTAAACAAAATCATTCATTAAAACCTTAATTAAAATGTTTATAATTTTGTGACCATTAGTTAAATATTATGAATATGAGCTTATAGCACCAATTGAATTAGATTTATTTCTCTGTTTAATTGACGGGAAAAGTTAATCAATTGGGCATTTAATTTTCAAACTTTTTTGTATCAACACAGAGTCTGAATTTCAAGAACGGTTGAAAACAAAAATACGTTGACATGTTTTCTTAAGCTATAAGTTTGTTTTCTTTAACACTACACACGTCTTGGTCTGTTGGCTTTCAAATGCTCATGGGGGCGTTATCTTTAAAAGTTGAGTGTCTTTTGTTACGGAAGGTGAAGCTCAAAGCCGGCCGGCCGGGTCAAAGAGGGACGCAATAAGCTGCCTTAGAGAATCACCTGAGCAAAAACGTAAGTGAGATTAAAACATGAAAGATTTTATCAACACGTGTAGATGGAGGTTCATAATAATTTATTTATAGTAGACGACACGTGTGTAGGGGATAAAAATATCAGGGATTTAATAAGACTAGTGGTTTATATGTGACCTTATGCACTACTAAGAAGGTTTCTTCAAGCTTCACTTGACCTACTTATAAGACTGGACCCGAGGACCGGAGGCCCAATTACCCTCCCCTTCCCCAATCTTCTCAAACCCTGAATCCCCAAAGATCCTCAAACTCCTAATCTCCAAAAGGCCGGTAACGCACTTGTAACGCCTTTGGTGTTCCAGGTGTCCATGGGTGGTAAGCAATCTACCATCAGGTGATCCATCTGCTCGTTTACCGGCTTATGCCATAAAAAAAGAGTTTCCTTTTTTATATACCTATATTTGATGGGCCGACGTTTGTCCACTATTTCGCCCGGTGGTAAGCGATGATGCAGCCTATGATGAAGCACGTCTGTAAACATCTATTTACTCGGACCTTGAAGACACCCTTCAGGAAACAGATACTCTGGCAAAGAATTTCCAAACAGTAAAGTACCCTAGGTACAACTACATAGGTAGTTTTTTGATTTCGCACCGATAATAATGCAGTCAAAAATTAAAAATTGTAGAATAAGTAAGATTAAGTAAGGATATCACACACTGAATACGTGCCAATAAAAATACTTACAATAATATTATTAGTCTGATTTGATTTATTGCCATACTGTAAGTTATTATATCGGCATTGCTTAAAAAAAAGATAATTAAAAAGAGTTAAATGTCAAAACTAATAATTTTATATTAAAGTGTCTTTTTTTTAAGGGGGGAAAATCATCGAATGTCTGATCTCGCCTGGGTGAGGCGGGAGGGAGTGTCAGACTCTTACTGACTAAAAACCACCCCGTTCCTTCTCCTGCACGTCGAGCCGGAGCCCCGGTTACCCGTTAGGTTCTCCGCGACATATTAAAGTGTCTAGATGCTAAATGTAAAACGTCAGTGTAAAATGTTTACACCTAATTTGTTAGCACCTTTTTTTATTTTATTTTTATTTTTTTTAAGGAGGGAAAATTATCCAATGACTTTTCCCGGCTTAAGTTGGCGCGAGGGAGTGTCAGACTCTTACTGACTAAAACCCACCCCGTTCCTACTCCTGCACTTCGAGCCACAGCCCCGGCAACCCGTTAGGCCTTCCGCGGCTCCGTACCGGAATTTGTTAGCACCTAATGTGGTATCTTGAAATGTTTTGAAGCGAAAATTAAACCAGTAATTTCCTTAATAGTAATTCTTCCTCACTTCCTATACCATGTTCATAAGATACCAGCTGTTCCTCGCAACCTTGTCCGCGTATAAAAAAGACTTCTAGCAGAAGTTGTGTTTTTGAATTAGTCTTTTGCATTACTATTGTAGTAGTTGTACCATTGTACATTTTTAAATGAAAAACTAGTTATTATGACATAACTGTAATAGTTAGACATATGATATCACAGACTTTAACGTTGATATTAATGTCCTCTATAAGAATCTAGTACATCACTTTACTCTATTGTCTATAATTTCGATAGCGTAATCAATATAAGGTGATTTTTCACACATCGGGTTACATTATCGATTATTTTTTTTATACACGGTTCTTTTTTTTATCTTATCAAATATAGCCTATGTATGTACATCAAGGATAATTTAGGATTCCAACAGTAAAATATTTTTTCAAATCGGACCAGTAGTGTAGGAGCCTATTCAATTCAAAAATGCATACAAACAAACAAAACATCAAATCTCTCCTCTTTATAGGTATTATTAGTGTACATATACGTATGAGTATGTGTATGTAATGTGTATAAGAAGTTACTTAAGGGTCTGCAAAGCAATAAGTCACCGTGGCGCGTGTACGGCCAGAGGGCGCCATAAATAAGCTCACACGTCCAGCGTCCTAAGCTAACAATTGATCAGTTTCCCAACAATTATCAAATACCTGCAGAGAGCCCTTACATTAACCAAGTTTGTGGAACATACTGCCGTACTGCGCCCTCGGGAAACACTTAATTGCACTAACTTATACACTCTATACTGGTATATATGTGTCTACTTATAACAGTGTTCATTATAGTCTACTAATTAATAAACTTGTTTAACAACATGTTTGTTGCTAGACATGTAGGTACTTTCGTATGTATACTGTGCCATTAGCCAAACGCCACTTTAGCGCTTGTCTACAGAGAGAGTAGAAATCAAAATGTATGGGGATGACACTAACAAGTGTCAAAATTTACTTCAATTTCATATAATTTGGCTACAGCTGCGGGCAGTTAGAAGTTTTGTAGTCCTATTGTTCGTAAGCCTCAAGCAGCCATTGTCAATCACAAGCCGCGATTCCTATTTATTTATCACATCACGTTTTTTATCCCCGAAGGGGTAGGCAGAGTTGCATATTAAGGCACTTAATGCCAGTGTACAATGTCACATGTATGGTGGGGTGAGCTTGTTGCCATATACCGGGCACAATTCCAAACTCTGTGCTACTACTGACAATGATTAAAAACCTAGTAATATTTTGACCCACCCGGTAATCGCACCACTCGACCAACGAGGCAGTCTATTTCTGTGCGTATAATTTTAAGATTTCCAAAAAGAAATGCTAAAAATATGTATCCTATCGAATCGAAGTCGCATCCTCACGAGGTCAACAGTTGACCTCGTAACTCCCGAATCATGGACTAACAACGAACTTCATTAACATTTCAAACAAGTCGAACGATAGAAAAGTAAAATAGAAAACTATCGTCAACTAGCCGTAACATATCGCAGATTATACAGTACGGTACAAGCTCTATTGTAATTCCAACTTCATTCTCCAGACTTTTGCCCAGTTTTCAAGATTTCACTTGGTCAGTTTTTATTTTTTGTCTCCGAGCAGAATCTTTGATTTTAAACGTGTATCTGAATTTTCTTGGGATATATTGTTTTTCGTATATGCTTGGTTTAAAGTTAAATAAAAAAGTAGGTATAAACGTTTATGATAATATAATTGTGTAAATATTATGGATAGTGGTTTAACTACCAAAAAACTGATGCAACGCTATAAAAAGCAACCACTAAAACAACTCAATAGGACTGATGCCGATACGGAGTCGCGGAGAACGTAAAAGGTTACGAAGTTGCAGGAGTAGGAACGGGGTGGTTTTGAGTCAATAAGAGTCTGACACTCCAACCCGCCTCACTCGAGCGGGAGAAGTCAATCGATGATTTTCCCCCCTTAAAAATAAAACCCGCCTGACTCGAGCGGGAGAAGTCAATCCATGATTTCCCCCCCTTAAAAAAACTCCATAAAGTACAAAATTGTTGTAGCTAATACTTATGGCATGTAATTAAAATTCATGTCTGAATGTAGTCTAGAAAGCACTATGTAACAAATAAATAACTGAGCAATCATTTGTCACAGTTCTAGACTGTTCAATAAATATCTAATGTGAAAAGCTTCTTAGCTGTGGAATATTTGAAAATACTTTTTGAATTACGACTTATTTGTTGGATTTATGTGCGACTCATAAAATATTATTGTCTCGAACTGAGATTTTGAAGAGCGCTGAGTAAGTTATTGTGATTGATTTTAACCAAAAGTAGAAATACGGTGTTATATTTTTATATTCGCCAGCAGTAAAGTAATAAAACTGTCGAAATAAAACGCAGACCTACAAGGTAAATGTCAAAGTGATTTTATTTGACTTTCCCACTTTTCCGGAATGTTGGGAATATCAAATTATATTGCAATTTCCATCACGTTCTCCTTTTACGTGTTTAATGCGATCTTATCGTATTAAAGTGGTACGAATCATATGCTGTTTTATGAACACTAATTTTAGAATTCAATGAAATCGTATCTACTCTTCTATTTAATGGATTTTCATGGACTCTTTTGTGATTTATACACAGTTAGCATAATTTATCGAAGTTCTTTATCTAATGTATCTGTCAGCACACAGTTATTAATTAATCGTGATATAGTGTTTTTTGACACATTTCGATATGGATCCAATAACAATACTTCCATTAATTATCTATTGGCAAGTATCCGATGACTTTAATGGCAACCATTAGAGAGTTAATTAAATAAGACGTGAGCCTTGTAATTTTGCAGTTAACTTTAGGGGTTGTACAAGCAGAAGTTTCTTGATCAAATTACCAACTCCGAAGACCATAGTCCGATATTGCTACGAACACTTAGTTTTAATCAAGTTGTTATTACAAACTGAAACATATTTCTACATTAAATAAAGCACAATTTTCAATATTCTGTTGGTAGTTACATGACGTAGAATTATAATATTTCGCATCGGAATGAAAAGAGGTTGCATCTCGCCATGTATTATTCAAGCACCTATTAGTTTCATGAGCAAAAATGTGGCATTAAAACTATAAAATTGGATGGTTCGTGATATTATACGTGCGCTGAATAAAGTGATCATAGGACGATCGGAGGGCGTCGCGAGTTTCTTTTTACCTTATTTGCATATAATTAAAATGTACCAAACCTTCCCGAGAGGTTGGCTTTAAACAAATTTTGTATGAATTCTCTTGATTTAACACCCATTTTCTTTATTCTCCTCGGTTACTTTCTTCAGGCGAGGTTCCCCTCGAGTCGTTCTATTTAGGTTTCATTTAATTTCATGAGATAATCTTACACGAACAGCTTGACTAGATAAAAGATTTATCTCGCCCAGGGGGCCGGCGCGAGAGCACATTGTATAATTATGTGCATGACTCGAGATACATTTTTAAAGTAAATACATTTATTATTTTACAGCAGATCTTCTTGGCCATTTAGATTAGCGGAGATAAGAGGGCTGGGATCTTTATTTTTTGTGCTGCAAGCTTTTTTGGCTTTATACAGTTGGTCAAGATATACCGATGAATTTATTTGCTGTAACAAAAAATTTTTTTATAGAGGTATTGTAATTTCGTAAAAGGAATCATTTACGTCTTAGCAATAAGGTAAATCCAGATCTTTAAAAAAACCTAATGGATGAACGAACAATGGCATGATCCTATTAGGCTACCTATTATTTTTTTTTGTAACTTGCGGAACTAAAAGAACCGCTCTAAGAAGATAAAGATCCAAGATAAAGAGCCAAAACATGTGTAGGTTATAATAGAGGTAATACATGCAAAAATAAACTATTAGTAACTTTATAGTCATTTTATATTATGTTGAATAAATAATTCGTTCTAATTACGACTGAATTAATAAAATTGTCTTGCCTTTGTATAATAAATCAAGATAACCATTATCTTGGAACTACAGCCGTAAATCACGTATTTAGTCGCTGAAACTAAATCACTACCTATATTATCTACATCTAAACATAAATATTTAACTCACAGTAGCTTCATAAATTAAACTCACTGCTCATTATTAATAAGGCCTAGAATATTGTATAACTCTAACATTAAGGCATCGTGTTTTAAGAAATTCTGTAATGATTTATCTCCGCCTTCAGAAATATGATTTTCTTTTGCAAATTAGTTACGAATCACTGTCATTTCTCGTCGCCCTATATTAACTGGGGGATTGGATGGTGTCAAAATGAAGAAAAAAGTATCTACCTATCGCCTAATGTATTTTTCATGGCAGCGTCAGTGGAAAATCATGGAAGACTAATGGCGGAGCCGTCATCATTCATTTCCAAGCTAAGCTCAATGACGTATCTTGAACAGAAGGGTTTTTCTCCCCATATATTTTCTGCTGTTGATA